GGCAGCGTACGCGTTCGAATTACGCGAATCGAACCCCAGCCCTTTCTCTTCTATGGTAAAGAGAGGCAACGACCCTTAAATGTCAGCTGAGGTTGTCATGGCGGCCATCCGATGTCCCATACAGTGGATCCATAGACATTGCTCGGGATAAGGACTACTGCATCTTAAGAGGCATTGGCAACTCTGCGACGATGACGACATGGACAGTAGAAGCCAGCTGGACTGCAACTGCGAATGGACCTACGATGGATGAAGAGTCCTACCTGGAAGTCTACAAGAGCAAAGTCCCTCGTCAACTATTCGCATGAGCTACTATCCTGCCAGATGTGGGGTGCGGGAAGTGTCTAACTGGATGTTTTACCAACACTGGATATCAAAAACAGTGCAAGGAATCAAGCCTGGAGCTGAGGACAGCTTCACTCCTGAAGGGGAGGCAGTGTGGTGACGGATCAGGGCACAGACCTATTGGACCACGCTGGCTTTAGCCAATCCTCTGTCTCTCTGTGTTCCAATGGCATGCGAGGAAGATAAGCAGCCAACCAGAGACAGGCACGAATGAGGAGCAGTATATAATGAACGGTGTGGCCAGCGTGGTTGACTCGGATGGAAGGCGCTTGAGTTGTGGCTCTGGCTTGTGATTGGTCAATAAAGCCTGTTCTGTTGTACTAGTCTTGATACCAGGGCACGTGTATTCTACGGTAATTATGTTCTAGGGCGCATACCTACTGTTTCTCGCGCTGATACACGAGTCTTTTTTATCATAAGCCCCGGGTATTCAACATAGGGTGCACTTTGTTGTGCCGCGCATTTGCATAGATACTTAAGATTACGCCGAACCCAGCTATTACTCCGTCTTTGTGGAATTAGATGGTTTGTGTTGAAGATGAGCCGCCAGCTGGGGTTGAGGACGGACTGGAAGCACTATACAAGGAGCGGCGTGGCCACTTTGTCTAATTCTCATTGCCACTTTTTGGCTCGCGGATTTGGCTTATGATAGGTAAGTAAATGTTGCAATTTTGTAAGTCTTCTACATTCTAAGGATCGGATATGTAGCGGAATGACAGGCGGCAGCCATATTGGTGACGGTAGTGAGCACGGCGTGGAGGCGACATCACGTGACCGGTGGTGCGACTTCCGGGTGCGTGGCGGCGTGCGGGCATCGAATGACGCGCCGAAGGCTGAGAGCGAATCCGCTCACGAGTTTTCCGTCTCCATTGTAGCGACGCGCAATGGACCAACGGGAGAACAGGAAGAACAGGACACGGATATATAAAGCCCCTGTTTTCCCCATACGGGCCGACCTGTTTGTGACTAGATTGTGGCTGTTTCAGCCTTCATTAAAGTGCTCCCTTTTGCCTTACTCTCTCTCTTCTTTACCATACCATGGGTCCGAAAAGTACAGATATTCTGCACAAGGGCGTAGACATTTTAGATCATACCGTGCTCAGCCAATCCTTTGTTCGTATACCTGTGCCGATAATCAGCCGCCAACCAGATGTAACATTTAACAAGGATCTCAATGTAAAGTGGAGCATAGATATATGGTGGATTCAAATAGTTTTTTCATGATAAAGTATTCTTTACTAGGAGCCAACAAATCAATTGCAATCAAACTTTTTGTGATGAGTTTTACCAGCAGTCTGATGCTTTTAAGGTAAATGGTTAAAATGCAATTCAGGTGTATAATACCTGAGACATTGTTTAAAGAAGACTGTTGCGACTAATTAAGATTTAGCCAGTCAGTGCAGAAACGTACATAAGGCGTCGTCCATCTAAGTTCTCCACTTAAGTTTTACTGCTCCTTATATACTACTTCTTTACTCATCCCAGTCCCCATTTGGCCGCTGATATAACTTGCAGGACATTTAAATGCAAATAAAGCATAGAAAAATTGCTGAGAATGTAAGGACAAATATGTCGGCCCCCGCGTTTAGTACTGCAAAGGCTGCGCGACAAATTAGGAGTAAATTGCAAGTCTGGTTCAAACTAATCCCCGCCATAACTATACAGACATACATAAGCTTTTGTGTTTGTAAGTGAAAAATGCATTTTATAAACTATTTAAGGCAATAATTTTTTAAATAAATTGATACAAAAAATGAATCCTTTAGCCATCTTTTTGATTGTTTAAGCCAAAACCATTTTATATTATTAACATTGTTATAATGAACTTAGCAGTACATAACTTGGCATGAGTTAGA